GCCCACAGACTTTAGTTAGACCAACGCATTTCAATTCTCGGGAGACTAAACTGTGCCAGTGACACAGAAAACAGGATAGACCAAGGTGCCATCAATGCCTGAGGCCCCTGCAATGGCAAGGAACTGTCTAGGTGGAATATGTCCAAATGATTCGAGCAGACAAACCGCAAGCCACTCACCCATCCACACTTACAAAGGAAGGTGGAAAAAACCATAGAGGTCCCTCCAATCTGACCCAGGGGGAAAATCTTTTGACACTAAATCTGGTGATCAGTTGGACCCTGAACACATGAGTAAGACATACCAGCCAGGCATCTAGAAAGAAGAGTCTCTGTACCCACTCGGAGCACTCGTCCCTCTTGTCCACCATCCCATCTCCAACTGTGGCTGAATTCTCTGATGCTTCAGAGAAAGAAAAAAGAACCACCATACACACACACACAGAGAACATATCAAGCCAATTTTGCATTGGGGAAAAAATTTCCTTCCTGAACCCTGCAGGTGACAGGTTGAAACCCTGATGCATGCAGTTTTGTTACAGTCATTATCTTAATGAGAGCTGCAACCACTATGAGCACCCCCTATCCCCAGCTTCTGCCCCATTTCCTCCTCATCCCCGCCCATTCCTATCCTTCCTTGTCTCCTGCCTCTCGTTTCTCATGCCCAGCCCATACTCATGTTCTCTTCCCTCCTTTCCCTCCCACTCATCTTCTGCCTATTACCCTGCTCAGATCCTACTCCTAACCCCCCCCTCCACCACACCCTGCATCTCCCCCTCTCCCCACCTCTTTCAGACCCGGTATATGCATAAAAATTTACCAGGATAACTATTTCTTAGGGGGCTGAATTATTACCAGTAAAAATCCCTAATGTGAATGTAGATATGGGGGTGATTTATACCAGTAGAGCTATTATTTGTATTATCATAGAGACTGGGAGTCTAGAGACTAAGAGTCTCACTTATGCTATTCCCCTTCACTAATGGGACTAGCTTTACCAATGTAAGTTTTATACCAGCATAACTGTGTTCACCCTAGGAAGGGTTGAACTGCTCTAACTATACTGGTATAGCTAAAACAATACATTTTTCTAGTGCCTCTTGCCTGGGCACTAGGAGGGAGTGCATTGAAATCACAGGAGAGAATATGCCTGCTCAGTTTTTATGCCTTGTGCCACGGAAGCTGGGACGAGCAATTGCAGGAAAAATTCTGCTCAGCCTCTGCAGACTTGGGATGGACCACGCTCAGTCACTCTGTGGAGATGGTACATCCTCCGGCAATTGCAGATAGGTGCCGTGAAGGGATGGAGCATTATTGGTGCAGACAGAATCACTAAAGTATTCAGCTGCCCAAATCTAATAAGTCTCTATTGAGCACGCGTGAACTAAGATTTTTCCCAAGCCTTCAAATTTCACCAAATTTTCACAGCAACTGCAAAATTTACATCCCTGACACCAGGGCAACCTCCCAGCCAAATTTCAAGCCCTTGCTCCAAAGCACTGGGGCACGAGCTGAAAAATTAAAGGCAAAATATTTTTTTCCTAGTTTCATTCCCTGAGAGAGCTCAACTGTTTTATCTGAAACTTAAAAAAAAAAAAAAAAAAAAAAAAATCAGCTAAAGGCAAAACACCCAGCATTGAAGGGTTCAGCCCAAACAGTTTAAATTTATAAAGCTATAAGCAACTGAAAACAGGGTCTTTTAATGGACAGTGTGGGGCAAATATAATTGCAAGTGTCACTAGCTGTACCACCTGTAGTTACACTTGATATCCTGATAAAAATATGATGTTTAAATTGTTTTAAATTTTAACATTTATTAAAATTATTCTGTAGGCATGCTTGACTGAAGAAGCTGGGTTCCATGCAAGCTGAGTTTATTATTTTTCCTCTTTCATCCATTTTCTTTAGACAAACTGTTGTAGTACTTGTACTGTGTGCCCATAGCTCCTATTGGCATTCAGATGTTGAGCATTCTATTGAGCCTGAGAAGGAGCTCCAAGAAGCTATAGCAACCCAGTGGAGTTTTGTTCCACTTCTAAGCCTTCTAGAACTCCATATGCTGTGAGAGTTAGCGTAAATAACTTTATTGCCAACAAGTTTAATTTATAAACCAAGTTCTCTACCCTAGCTACTAAGATTAACACAATTTGTCATCATAGATACAAGTACTGCTTTCTTTCCACCCATGAAAGTAAAACAAGAGATGGCATCTTTCTCTGTCACAAGTCCAGCTGACCATACTTGCATACTCAAAGTTTTCCAAATTAGGAAAAGATCTTAACATACATACATTCACCTCATTAGACTCAACTATGTACCACTCAGGTTCTCCAATCCAGTAGTTGCAAACAGACTGCCAAGTCTCTGGAGTTTATAAAATAAAATATCACCTTTTGTATGTAATTTTTATTTCACTTCTAACAATGATTTTTGTTAAAACATCAATTAAAGCTTCCTCCTCAATGAAGCATTAGTGTTTCTTGTCTTGATTAGCAAAAGAACAAGAGTTCACCTTTTCCTGTACATTAAAGAGTTAAGTAAAATGGGGAATATTTATCTTGTACTGAAAGAGGCTTTTATTAAACTATAATGTTGATGATCTCTAACTGTATAAGAATTCTGAGCTCTGCACCAGAATTCTCTGTTCATTATCATTTATCCAACAGGAAAGGAAAATATGTAATTTAAGAAGAACCTATATACTAACTCACTGAGTTGTCTTCAGACTACTAGAGTTCCTGAAAGTTATTTTAGTTATAGGCACAGTAATAGGTCAAAATAAAAAGTTCTTTTTGGAAGCTCTTTAATCGTTCCCCCAACCTCCCCTCTTTTACAAAAAACCTGAAGCCACCGAGTGCTACTGATAAATGTATGGAAGGAATCATAATCAGACAAGACAACATACTCACTATACAGATTAAACTAAAAGACTCCATTTTGGCTCCTATACTTACAGTACATGTCTACAGAGCCAGAAAAGGCTCTTCACTTTATCAAGAGCGCAGAATATTCCCAACCAAGTGTAATGATGAAACTACCTGTCTCATGATTATCATTTTTGGCTCATTAATTGCTACATGAGGACAATATAAGATTTTCTAAAAGTTTAACAGAATACATCTATAAAAATGTTTAATGACTTTAGCTTATTGAATGTTTTTTCTTAAGAGTTAAAACAGATGTAGAAACTTAATTTTAAAAAGGCCATTAGTGTTAGGCCAAATTACAAGTTTTTAAAGTACATTGGAATAATAACAATGTTTCTATTAATTAAACAAAGACTAGGTAACTAGCAACTTACTCCAGTGCTTTCACTAGCAAACACTGGGGGGGAGGGGAGGGGAGGAGTCACTCTCCAAAATAATTTCACTAAATAATTCAACAGTAAAAGATTTTAGAAAGCACATTTTTCTTTTTTACACATTAGTCAATACTCACAGTAAGCCATAAGAGAGTAAACTTCACATAGAGTAACTCCTCGCTTAACGTTGTAGTTATGTTCCTGGAAAATGTTACTTTAAGCAAAACAATGTTAAGCGAATCCAATTTCCCCATACGAATTAATGTAAATGGGGGCGGGGGGAGTTAGGTTCCAGGGACATTTTTTTCGCCAGAAGAAAGTCTCTCAGAGAGAGAGAGAGAGAATTACACACAGAGAGAGTATAAGTTTTAAACAATTTAATACTGTACACAGCAATGAAGCTTGCGAAGCTTGGCTGAGGTGGTGAAGTCAGAGGGTGGAATATTTCCCAGGGAATGCCTTACTGCTAAATGATGGAACTAGCACTCGGCTGAGCCCTCAAGGGTTAACACATTGTTGTTAATGTAGCCTCACACTCTACAAGGCAGCAAGAATGGAGGGAAGGGAGACAGCATGGCAGAGAGAGACAGAGACATACACTATGTGTGTGAGTGAGAGATGCGCATTGCCCCTTTAAGTACACTGTCTCTTTAAGTAGATCAGCAAGTTGAGACAGCAGCTGCTGCCAGCAAATTCCCTCCATCCTGAACCCTGTTGTGTCGTCCCCCCCTTTCTATGGAGATGGGGTAAGCGAGGGGAAAGGAGCAGGGAAGAGGGGGGACACCCTCACATTAGCACCCTTCTTTCCCCCCCGGCACAGCAAGCAGGCTCCCGGGAGCAGCTCCAAGGCAGAGGGCAGGAGCAGTACACAGCAGTGCGGGGAGGGAAAGCTGAACTGCCGGCAATTGATAGCCTGCTGGGCGGCTGCCGCACAGGGAACTTAGGGGAGCGGGGAGCTGATAGGGGGGTTGCTGGTCCACCCTGGTTCCAAGCCCCCACAAAGTTCCAACAGGCTGCTCTTTCTGCAAGCAGTGGACAAAGCAGGCGGCTGCCAAACAAGTTATAAGGGAGCATTGTGCAACCTTAAATGAGCATGTTCTCTAACTGATCAGCAACGTAACAACATTAACCGGGACAACTTTAAGTGAGGAGTTACTGTACTAAATAAGAACTTGAACATGGAATTAAAATGTTCACAAGCACATAAAAATAAACAAAATGATGGCTAACTGCATGCATTAGGTACAGGCTTAAGACAATGACAGAAGAAACTGGTACGGTTTAGTTTAAAAGCTTGCAGTGCAGGTTGCAAGGGAAAAAATTATCTATCTAGGTACTTTTATGACTCTCCTCACTATAGTGCTTTAGCACCCCCAAATTAAAAAAAAAAAAAAAATCTTTCCCTCCCCACCCTCTCTTTACTGCTTGTAGGAATACCTTGAAAGGTAATAAATGTGTGTGGATGTGCACTCACCCTTTAGTCAGTATGTAGTCATTCTGGGGGGGGGGGGGGGGGAAGGGGGGGGCCCGCAAAAGAGTGGGGGTAAAGAATTTTTATAAAAGACAAAAGGTTCTCAAGCAACAACCGATTTTAAAACATGAAATTCCACATTCAGGTATAACAGGAGTGGTTTCAATTTACACTGCTATTTTATATACAAGTAGAAATAATGGCTTATCTCTTGATAAAAGGTTTGTACCTTGATCTGCTGTCTTCTGAGCATTGCAAGTTCCCTCATATCTCGGAATGGCTGTAGTAGGTATTGGTACAGTTCTGTGGTGGCTTCTGCAAGACTACTGTAGGCTTCATCTTCCATTTGATACAGTTCAAGCAGCTCTACCATGCTTTCTGTATTCTTGTGTTTTTCCAACAGCTATAAAAAAAGAAGAGAAATATTGCTTCAAAAAGTGTGCTCAAAATTTCCTGCTAACAAATTTGATAGCTACTTACAGCTAACGGCCAGTCCCCTCCCTAACCTCCCGCCCCCCCACCCCAAATCCACTTAGACATGGAAAGGTTCCATGGTGCAGCTTCCCATACTAAGGAAGGAACTAAGCCAGTCAAGTCTGAACAGCCCTTTGATACTGACATCCAGAGTTAAAGTTATCACTGCTTTCCAAGAGCTTCCTGAAGCACAGTAGCACTGGAGACATAGCCATAAGTGGAGGTAGGAGGATAAAGTCTGATTTACTTTTCACCAGTTATGCCATTTACTTACTGCATTTCACTCCATTTAGACAAAATAAGAGAGAAGTCAAGTTTTGATTTTTCTAGCTGTTATTTTTTAATACCACAAAGATGAGAGATGCATCACAGAAAAGACAAGTGCATTACCACAAAAGACTTACAATCTAAGTCCTGGCCTTTCGAGCTGCTCCACATAAGTGGACCCCAGGGGCCCATAAAGAGCCCTAATAAAGTCACTGCAGTTCCACACAGGTGAAAGGGTTTGCCTGTGTGGCACAGCTTGCAGGATAGTGGCCTACATTTCTAGTCTATTTTACTTTCTGGTTCACGTGCTTTAGCACGTTTTATTATCTAGGTTATAAATGAAGCAAACAATGTCTTAAGAGTTTAAGGCCAGAAGGGACCATTAGCTCATCTAGTCCAACCACCTGTATATCACAGGCCACCCGCACCACCCAGCATGCACACACTAAACCCAACTGAAATGAGACCAAAGTATTGCTGCCCACTGGAGATGAGACTACCATTTGCAAAGAACCAGGGAAACCAAGATACACAAACACCCAAGGCCCCCTCAATGACAGGGAAATGATTAAGTGAGAGATACCCAGAAAATCCTCGCAAGTGACCTACACTTCCATGCTGCAGAGGAAGGTGAAATAAAATTCAAGGTCTTCAAAGAGTTTTCATTAGAATTAAAAAAAAAAAAGTTGTGGATGTATTTTAAACTTTGTACAAGTCCTTAATTTGAGGCCTAAATCAACCTAAAACTGTTTCCTCAAGAAAGTGACCACTTGTACAATCTTCTCTTAAAATACTGTCTGTACATAATCCTAGTCAGTCAGATAAAACAGAAACTTTCATAAATTTGTTACATTAAATTTTTATCTCATATGCCTGCTTTGAGACCATTTTGTGTACAAGCCTTGGCAGGTGAGGCCATATAACTTAACTCACTTGCCAGATCTAGAAAGCCACTTACTGATTAGCTAAGGCTAATGATTTAAAAAAAACTCCCCTACCCTTTACCTGAGATGTTTCAAGTATTTACATAAAAAGCAGATTATCTTAATAGCCTTTTTATACCATTATCAGCCACTGAAAAATCAAAGCTCATTTTTGTGTTACTGCCTCAAAAGCTTATACTGTTTATATCACTCATTACTTTTTTTTTTTCTGAGCCATATATCTGAAATGACTTTAACCTCCCCTTCAACTAAGTCATATCTTCTAGTTATTTGTTTATGGTTTTAAAATGAAACCCCCAAACTATAAGTATGCCAAGTATACCTTAAACCAAGTTGTTGTGGCAGGAACAGTTACCGTACCTCTGACCCAATAAGTGATGTCTTAACTCCAACAGCACCGACATTTCTGACAGTGTAGTCCCTAAAGAAAAGCCACCTCCTCCCTCAACTCCTTTCCTTCTCATTCTTTACTCATTTCCTCAGTTCTGCCAGTGTCATTCTTTCACCTCTAAGGGTATGTCTACACTACGAGAGTAGTTCGATTTTAGTTAAATCGAATATGTGCAATCGATATTAGAAAGTGGAACGTGTGTGTCCACACTAAGGACAGTAATTCGACTTTGTCAGTCCACACTACCAGGGAAAGCGTCGACATTGGAAGCGGTGCACTGTGGGCAGCTATCCCACAGTTCCCGCAGTCCCCGCTGCCCATTGGAATTCTGGGTCGAGCCCCCAATGCCTTCTGGGTAAAAAAATGTGGCGAGGGTGCTTTTGGGTAACTGTCGTCATCCGTCAGTCACTACCGCCCTGCCTCCCTCCCTCCCTGAAAGCGCCGGCGGGAAATCAGTTCGCGCACTTTTTGATCAGTGACAGCGCGGACGCCACAGCACTGCGATCATGGATCCCGCTGCAACCATCGCTGCAGTTGTGGCCGTTCTCAACACCTCGCAGCTTATCATACACCTTTCCCTGAGGCAGATGCAGAGAAATCAGGCGAGGAGGCTACGGCACCGCCGTGAGGGCCTGAAGTCGGAGAGTAGCACAGAGCTGTCAGAAACCACAAGCCCCAGCGCCCAGGACATCACGGTGGCAATGGGGCATGTGGATTTTGTTGAACGGCGATTCTGGGCCCGGGAAACAAGCACGGACTGGTGGGACCGCATAGTGCTTCAGGTCTGGGATGAATCCCAGTGGCTGCGAAACTTTCGCATGCGGAAGGGGACTTTCCTGGAACTTTGTGACTTGCTGTCCCCTGCCCTGAAGCGCAAGGACACCCGCATGCGAGCAGCCCTGACTGTCCAGAAGCGAGTGGCCATAGCCCTCTGGAAGCTTGCAACGCCGGACAGCTACCGGTCAGTCGCGAACCACTTTGGCGTGGGCAAATCTACCGTAGGGGTTGTTGTCATGCAAGTAGCCAAGGCAATCGTCAAGGTACTGCTGTCAAAGGTAGTGACCCTGGGAAACGCGCAGGCCATCATAGATGGCTTCGCTGCGATGGGATTCCCAAACTGCGGTGGGGCTATAGATGGGACTCACATCCCTATCCTGGGACCGGGCCACCAGGCCAGCCAGTACATCAATAGAAAGGGATACTTTTCAATGGTGCTGCAAGCACTGGTGGACCATCGGGGACGGTTTACAAACATCTACGTCGGATGGCCGGGCAAGGTTCATGACGCTCGCGTGTTCAGGAACTCTGGTCTGTTTAGACGGCTGCAGGAAGGTATTTACTTCCCGGACCACAAGATAACTGTTGGGGATGTGGAGATGCCTACAGTGATCCTCGGGGACCCAGCCTACCCGCTAATGCCCTGGCTCATGAAGCCCTATACTGGCGCCCTGGACACAGAAAAAGAACTGTTCAACTACCGGCTGAGCAAGTGCAGAATGGTGGTGGAGTGTGCTTTTGGCCATCTCAAGGGGAGATGGAGAAGCTTACTGACTCGCTGTGATCTCAGCGAAACCAATATCCCCATCGTTATTGCAGCTTGCTGTGTGCTCCACAATCTGTGTGAGAGCAAGGGGGAGACCTTTATGGCGGGGTGGGAGGTTGAGGCAAATAGCCTGGCTGCTGATTACGCCCAGCCAGACAGCCGGGCGATTAGAAGAGCCCAGCGGGACGCGCTGTGCATCCGGGAGGCTTTGAAAGCCAGTTTCAAGGCTGAGCAGGGTACCCAGTGACTTTTAAGTTTGTGGACACAGAAGCAGAACTTGCCCCCGTTTCTTTACCCAGTTGCCGTCGACTATCCTCTCCAATTACATACCCCCTTCACCCCCTTCCCAAAAAATAAAATCTGTTCTGTTTTGTTAATGGACACCGTTGTCTTTATTACTGTTTTCGCGGGAATGTTTTAAACCTGGGACGCAGACTGTGGCGGGGGGCGGGTTTACGGTTGTGATGCAAATGATGCTTCTAAACTCCAGGAATGACAGGCTACGTGGTGGTGGACTGGTTGTTTCAACGGAGCCTGCCAGCCCTCCTGGCCGGGACTGCGTGTGTGTCTCGGCTATGTGACTGTCTTGCAGGGGGAGGAGGGTTACAGATCCCCTGCTGCGCGGCTCTGTGATGCAGGGTAAGGACCGCTGCATAAGATCTGTAACTGCCCTCCCCCGCCACCAAGTCACAGAGCAACACCACCCCCCCCACCACACAAAACATGAAAACCACCTCCCAGACTGACCAGGATAACTAGTCACTGCACTGTATATGTGCCCTGCTGCTGCACCTGCCCCCTGCTAAAGGTGACTGTCCTGTCCAATGACCAAGCCCCTTCCCCCCCCTTCAGACAGACTCCCCTCCAAAAGAAGAGGATGGAAACAGAAATGAACAGAAACGTATTCTTTATTAACAACCGCACATGGAACGGGGGCGTGAAACTTGGACGGGGTCTTGTGTGAGGCGGGTAGGAAAGGACTTTTCAAATTTTCGGGAAAGAGAGCCTTCTAGTGGTAGAGCAGTCCGCAGGGGTGGAGTGAAATTTTTCACAGCCCCTTCCACCCCTCCGTGTTTGGACTTTGGGTGAGGGGGGTATGGGACTTGGTGGCGGGGCAGGGCAGTTACAGAGAGACTGCAGCGGGGCTCTCTCCTCCTGCCTCCGGTCCTGCAGAACATCCACAAGGCGGCGGAGCGTGTCCGTTTGCTCCCTCATTAGTCCAAGCAGCATTTGAGTAGCCTGCCTGTCCTCCTGTCGCCACCTCTCCTCCCGTTCAATGTTTGCCCGGTGCATTTGGGACAAGTTCTCCCTCCACTGTGTCTGCTGGGCTGCCTGTGCTCGGGAGCATGCCATTAGTTCAGCAAACATGTCTTCCCGTGTCCTCTTCTTCCTCCTCCTAATGTGCGCTAGCCTCTGGGCAGATGTGGCTGTGGGAATTGGAAAAAGGGAGTGAATTCCTGAGACAGAGCAATGTATCTGTGAACAGAGAACATAGTCTTTCTCTGTGAACAAGACCATGCAGAGCACCTATCACACGCGCACTGAGGACAAGGTCGAATTTTCGGCCCTCTTCTACAGTGCCTGCGGTCTTGCTGTGGCGAGCTGAGGAGCAGGGCTGGACACCGGACTTTGTCTAGCTGGCAAACATGGTAAGCCGTAGACTTGTGGCCGCTTAAAACTTTAAGAGTGGCACTGGCCTCCTTTCACATAGAAAGCAATGCGAGTCTCTGCTGGCAGCAATCCTGCAAGCATGAACTCTGGCCCTGTCCCAGCCCTTCGCGGCT